TCTTGGAGAAGAAACTTTAAAAGAAGAAAAGGGGGTATGCAAAGAAAACCCTTCAGAAAACAATTTTTAAAAAAATTCCCAGTGAGGACAAAGAATGCACTGCAGATGTGAACACTGTCAGTTGGCGTGAAAGAGAGAGAAAAAATAATGCAACACAGGTGGGGTAGAAGGGGAAAAGAAAATGTGGAGTCTCCTGGATGAAATCATGGCTGGATGGCACACCGAACAGGAATGATCTACAAATCAGCTTTTTGTTGCTGTGCATACTAGGCGCAGAGGACTTTCCCCTCCCCCTTTCCATTTTTGAAGCAACCAGATCTAGTTTGTCAATCCTGGGTTTATAAATGGGTCAACAGCTCCATAACAACTGGATTCCACAATTCTCTGAGACTCCATCATGAGAACTTTAGGTTGTTAAGGGTGCTGAAAGTTGCTAGGAGGCCCCTATATTGGTCACAGAGCTACGATTTGCAGAGTTCCTGGGAAGGTAGATAAATTGGTAAAACTCTCTGGGAATGGTAGCTCTTCGAGGGGAGCAAGGACCTCCTAATGACAAACTACAGGTTCCAACAACTGTAGGGTTGCCATATTATTATTATTATTATTATTATTATTATTATTATTATTATTTCCAAAGGTAAAAATCCTGACAAAAAAGGTATGGCCCTGCAAAATTTAACCCTACCAAACCCCCAGACATTTGCTTAAAATTGTAAAAAATCCCCCTGGATGGGCATGTAGGCCCCCCAAAAGAGGTCATGCCCAGGATTTCCCAGACGTATGGCAACCCTACAAAGTGCGAATCAGACACACACACACATGAATGAAGCAAAACCCTGTTGCCTGCCCCTATGTGGTGATATATTGAACTGCAGGTGACAGCATCCTTGAGGAAGTACCTTCAGGCCCTGGGCTAAATCTGCCCACACAAATTGATTATTGAGCACTTCTGGGCTGGAAGGAAAAGAAGAGGGCTTCCTACTCTACTTAACTCTTGCTTGGAAAACATGGTTCTCCTGAGGTCTGGTGTATGCCTATATCTCTGGTTCTTCTTTGGTGTTGACTTCTATATGGTCCTACTTTGTCCTTTGATTCTCTTTTGTCCTGTGAGCTCACTCAACAATCCTGCTGATGGATCTTTCTAAGAACATATGAACAGCCTGGCTCGGTTGGATCAGGTCAGGGATCAGCTTGGAGAAGAGAAGTGTGATGTCAACACAATGTCTCTCACATCAGATGCTTATCATTTTCATTTCCGGCTTCATCACCCATGTTATTAACATGGCTTAACTTCAGGCAACAATGGGGATGATGGAGACATTGATAGCCTGTTCCTCCATAAGGTTGTCCAATTCTCTTTTAAAGCCATCCAAGTTGGTGGCCATCACTGCTCCTGGGGGAGTGAGTTGTACAGTTTAACTATGTGCAGTGTGAAGAAGGACTTCCTTTCATCTGCCCTGAATCTTTCAACATTCAACTTTATTGGATTTCCACAAGTTTTGAGGGGATGGGGTGGGGAGAACTTTTCCCTAACCACAACAGGGAGGAAGAGACAATTGGCTGACTGCCTGTCTTTAGCTCCAGTGGCATCTACTGCAAATCCAGCCTCACCTGTCCCAGTGGGCACAAGCCACCATGCAACTGAGCCATGTGAAAAATACAACTGCTACCCATGAAATAAATGTATTCTTAACTTAGGACCACAAGGAACTGCCTTTTTAAAAAACTTGAACAGCAACATCCCAACTTTTGTTAACTAGGCTCTCTGCCATGCTTGTAGTTATCAATGACTTTGAAGAACCACCTTGACCACTGCTTTTAGATCATTCCTAGTCGCAAACCAAGACACCAAATATACAGAAAATCTGACTTGGTGGAGTGGAGGTTCTAGTAAAGACTCAGTTCAGTAGTCATCTATGAAAAAGATCCATCCCACTGTCTTTAAGAACATAGTTTCAGCAGATAGCTGTGCTTAACAACACCTTTCTATTCCCCCCCAAAGCCAGTTGTGTCTTCTACTATGCTCTTCCACAGGTCAAATGAATCACTGGCCCTCCTGATGTTGTTGGATTGCATTTTCCATCAGTCCCATTGGTCATGCTGGTTGGCCTATTTGGGTGAATTGAATATTGACAACCTCGGTCTCCATTCAGCCAGCCCCCGCATGTCTGGCTACATGTACAGGAGATTGCCTTGCCTGTAAGCTTCCTCCTCTATGGTCTCTGTGTTGCCCTGGTAGGATCCAGGAAAGAAGAGGGTGGGGCAAATTTAGGATGAATGGACTCTTCCTGCCATTGACTCTGGCTCCACCAACTGGTGTCCTTCCTGCCTTCTGCCCCACCAGTCCCATTCTAGGAGCTGTTTTTTTAATGTTTATGTGATTGTGAAAGCTTTCACTCTACCATTATGGCTCCAGATAGCCTTGGGGCTTCTCTTGCCTTCAGAAAACAACAACAACGACAAACCTGGTGAGCTCTACACTCAGAGGAACATAGAGCCTTTCTTGTCTTCAGGGACCTTCAGAGACAGAGGGGAAGGGAGGGAGGAAGGAAGGAAGGAAGGAAGGAAGGAAGGAAGGAAGGAAGGAAGGAAGGAAGGACTGAAATTGACTCATTTGTTAATTATTACACTCCATTTCTAGGATGCACAGCAGCTGTAGGAACAGCACCTCTGGAAGCAGACAGCACAACTGTAGGCAGAACATGGGACGTTAGCATGAGCTTATGCCTGTGACTTTTTGGTCCATTTCTAAGTACTCCAGTCCGCCTCACTGATGTGGGGATTTGGGGCACAGTCCTTCAATGGCTGCACTCATTCCTTTCTGGTTGGGGACAGAGGGTGGCGCTGGGGTGGGGGGTGGGGATCTGTCGTCGCACTACTCCTTGGTGTGTGGAGTACCACAGGGCACAATTCTCTCCCCAATGCATTTCAACATCTTTATGTGCCTCCTTACCCAGCTTGTCTGGAATTTTGGTTTGTGTTGCCATCAGTATGCTGATGACACCCAACTCTATCTGTTGATGGAAGGCCATCCCTCCTCGGCCCCAGACACATTGATCAGATGTTTGGAAGCTGTGGTTGGATGGCTATGTGGGAGCCTGTTGAAGTTAAATCCTTCAAAGACAGAGGTCCTTTGGCTGGGTTGGGATGATATGGGGTTGGGGGGCCAACTCCCATCCCTTGCAGGGGCGCAATTAATGCCAGCACCGTCCGTTAAGAGTTTGGGTGTAATCTTTGATGCCTCCCTTTCTATGGAGGCGCAGGTTACAGCTACGACAAAGGTAGCATTTTTTCATCTCCACCGAGCTAAGCAGTTGGTCCCTTACCTCTCTCGCCCTAACCTCGCCACCGTGATCCATGCAACGGTCACCTACAGGCTTGACTATTGTAACTCACTCTATGTGGGGCTGCCCTTGAGACTGACCCAGAAACTCCAGCGGGTGCAGAATGCCGCGGCGAGACTCCTTACGGGGTCCTTGCCACGGGATCACATTCACCCAGTGCTATACCAACTGCACTGACTCCCGGTGGAGTATAGGGTCAGGTTTAAGGTGCTGGTTTTAACCTTTAAAGCCCTATAGGGCCTAGGACCCTCGTACCTATGGGACCACCTCTCCTAGTATACCCCACAGAGGACCTTGCAGTCTGCTAACAACAACACCTTGATGATCCTGGGCCCCAGGAAAATTAGACTTGCCTCAGCTAGAGCCAGGGCCTTTTCTGCCATGGTCATAGCCTGGTGGAATACTCTCCCACAAGAGACCAGGGCCCTGTGGGATTTGACATCTTTCCACAGGGCTTGTTCCGCCAGGCCTTTGGGCAGGATGCAGCTTGACTTACTTTCCTTTGTATAAAACAAGTCCAAAGGACGCCCCCAACCCACTCACAGGTCCTTGTATGATCAGTGGAAACAGTTGGTCCTGGCAAGTACTAACCACTCTCAGTTCCAACCTGGTAATTGCCACCTGCCCAGATTTTAATTTGTCTGAATTAATTTTAAGATGTATTTTACTTAATTGATGTCTGTTTCTATGCATATTGTGTTGTTTTTATGATGTTAGCTGCTCTGAGCCTGGCCTCGGCCGGGGAGGGTGGGATACAAATAAATTATTATTATTATTATTATTATTATTATTATTATTATTATTATTATTTTATTATTATTATTATTATTCCACTAGAGATACTAGAGAGTGAATCTGGGACATTGCGCTTTCAGAGCCTGATCACTGAGTTGTGAGCTCTCCTACCAGAATGATGCTTGGAAGTGACTGTGGGTCAATTTGAATATATATAGCTACCTTATACTGGGAAAGACTATGTGTTTGTGAGAGCTTACAGCCACCCACTATGGATCCTAAGGGTCTTCAGAGCAGCATGAGCATAAGATCATAAGGACATAAAAAGAGCCTGCTGGATCAGGGCAATGGCTCATCTAGTCCACCATCCTGTTATCTAAGTTCCACAGATGCCACCATGGGAAACCCTCAGGAAGGACTCAGGCAGAAGACCCCTTTCCTCATTTGTGGTTTGAGGAAGTTGGTATTCAGATGCAGTACTGCCTCTGAGCTTGAAGGGAGAGCATAGTCATCATGGCAGGAGCCATTGATAGTCTTCTCTTCCACAATTATTTTCCCCAGTCATCATTGAAAGCCATTCAAGTTGGTGGCCATCACTGCCATTTCTGGGAATGCATTCTAGAGTTCAACTATGCTGCCCTGAATCTTCAGCTTCTCTGAATATTCACAAGTTCTAGTGTATTGAGAGAGGGGGGAAACCTTTCCTCTAGATGTTGTACCAGCTGCTCCTGATAGTGATTTCATAACTGCTTTGTGTTGGTTCTTTTTTTTTAAAAAAAGAAAACTTTGGTTGGGACAATTGTGGGACAACCTTAGTGGGAAGCAGTATACAAATTTTATAAAGCTGAACCTAAAAGAGGCATGTGGCAGATGGATTGTGATAATGGCAGAGGGGTGATGGAAGAAGACACGACAGATGTGTTGATTCTAAGTAAGCTTTATTTAATCCCTTGCATTAAGGGAGATTGAAACAAGGAAATCAGCAGCAGTGGGTGGATGAGGAAACTCTCATCCACCACAAACACACACACATTCATAAATTACATTGAAGAATGAGCCACACACTGAACATGCAAACATAAAACACCATTGAATAATGGAAGGGCAAAGCAACATGCAGAAGTGTTTTGGGCTTACATGATGTTGTCAGGACACTGATGTGAACTGGCAAAGTTAGCTTATCATGGGTTGCTTGGCAAATGTTGCATTTTACTTGATGCTTGGCATGGAGCAGGGCTGCTTTGTTTGCCCAATGCATACTGGGACGACAATGGGGCACTTGGTCTGCGAGGATCCACCACCAGATCCGCCGCTGCTGCAACAGACAGCTCCGCCACTGCCGCTGCTGCAGCAGACAGCTCCTCCTCCTCCTCCACCACCACCACCACCACTGCTTCCTCCAGATACGACAATGGTTTTCCCACCTGATCCTCCACCTCCTCCACCTCCTCCACCAGATCCTCCTCCAATCACCTTAACCCCACCTGAGCCTCCACCCCCAGATGAGCTACAGCAAACGGCACCACCACCGCCACTGCCGCCAGACGAGCTGCAGCATACTCCCCCACCAGATCCCCCACCACTTCCTCCACCTATGATGATGGTTTTCCCACCAGATCCTCCACCACCTCCTCCACCTCCTCCACCAGATCCTCCTCCAAGAACCTTAACCCCACCTGAGCTTCCACCACCAGACGAGCTGCAACAAACGGCACCACCGCCGCCGCCGCCGCCGGACGAGCTGCAAGATACTGCACCCCCACTGCCGCCACTAGATCCTCCACCAATAACTATGGGGATCTTTTGCTGGCCCATGCCACCACCAGATCCACCTCCACCGCAGCACCCAGAAGACTCGCCGCCGCCACCACCGCCGGATGATCCGCAGCATACTGCACCGCCGCCGCTAGCTCCACAGCAAACCCCTCCAGATCCTCCGCCAATAACTATGGGGATCCTTTGCTGGCCACCTCCATATCCACCTCCACCACAGCACCCAGAAGACTGGCCGCCTCCACTTGGTATAATGATGATTCCGCCGGACTGTCCGCCACCTCCGCCGCCTCCACTGCAGCAGCAGCAGCCTCCTCCTCCTCCACCGCCAGATCCTCCGCGGATTTGCATCATCCCACCGCCACCGCCACCGCCGCAGCAGCCACCAGATCCTCCTCCGCCTCTTCCGCAGCAGGATGAGCTTTGGCTTTGACCTCCGCCTCCGCCGCCGCCTCTTCCGCAGCAGGATGAGCTTTGGCTTTGGCCTCCGCCTCCGCCTCCGCTGCTGCCTCCAGAGCAGCAGCCACCACCGCCGCCGCCGCCGCCACCTCCTGAACCGCCGCAACAGCCCCCGCTTTGTCTTTGTTGGCTCATTTTTCGGCTTCGGTGTGGCAGTTGTTTCTGTGAATTAAGCCTGAAACAAGGCAAAGAATGGTTATGGCACACTGATGACTGCGGTGCTCGTTTCTGAAAGGGCCTAGTGGTCCTCAGGGTGGTCACTGAGGCTGCAGCATCAGGTGGTGGTCACTTGTGCTGGATCCCATGATTGAATAATATATATAGCTCAGGACCAGTTTCCTTGTGAGATTCCCTCTGTATATATCCACTCAACAGCTTTGAACTATGAAACTAGCACTGTTCCAGGTACCATATAATACACATTGCACATTTGTAAGAAATGGGGTCCCCCCCCCAATTGATATCAGATGAGCATCCTCACTGTAGTATAGTCTGCCCCTGCCTTAAATGTCATTGTTTAAGCCAGCCTATCCTGAAGCATAGAAGATTGGAGTGTTTTAATCTGGATTTAGTTTACCCATTATTATTTTATTATTCTTCAAATGTTTTTTAAATGTTTTTAACAGAATTTCCCCCCTGATAGCTTTACTGTTTCATTCTTTTTGTAAACCTCTTTTTTGTAAATGATAAAATGGTATGTAAATTTTGCGAGCTATGGATAGATGGACGAGTGGATTGTCATGTCATGTAAGCATATGTAGACAGTGCAAAATCAATCAATCTCACACATTTTTTAAAAAAATCAGCATGTCAGGGTGGAAGGTTCTAATTAACTCCCTGGCCTGCTATGTTTCTCTGATTTTATTGTCCTAGATCACTGCTGCATTTTCCCCTCTTTTGTAGAGTTTTATCAACATTCTGATATTTTGTTTAAAAATATATACTAAGGGTTCAAAACATTTTTTTGCCATCGGTATTGTTATTTTCTGTGCAACCTACATGAAAGGCAATGTCTAAATTAAATGATTTTTTATAGCGGAGGATCCTTTCATTAGGTGATCTTGCTCTGGTGCTTTGAAATGGGGCAACCAGTAACTGATTGACCGCCTCCAGAATCCCTAGCTTCATCTCTCTGTTTTCTGTACTTTCTGCCTAGAATCTGTTCCCTCAGTGCTACCTGGTTGGCTGCCAGCTAGCAAGCCAAACCATATATCTGGTGTAGATATGGAGGACAGATAATATGAATGACATGACTCCTCTGCACCAGGTAAGCAGGTCTGGCCCTGCAAACAGGGCATGGATGCATAAGGCTTCTTCTGGGAACAATTCCTCAGTGAACTTTTGTCTGACGGATTTATCCCTTGATAATCATAAAGGATTAAGGTGCCTCTTGGAACAGGTTTAGGTAAGGATGCAATCTCTGGCTTAGCTGCAGCTATCATTCAAGCATTGCTGTTGGGGAGGACACACCAATTCATTTGCTGTGACCTCAGCTGCTCAGGTACCACCACCCATTCCCGAATGGTTCTCCATTCCTCGTTTACATCTATAAGAATGCCCCTCTCCCTCCATTGAATGCAAGGAATTGCACACTGTATCAAGAAGCCAAATCAACCCTTTGCAGCCTCCTAACCAAATAGCATTATCATTGCATCAGTGCATAGCTGAAGATGTTTCCATCCATTCAAAGGAAGGAGGATTATCTGAGCATTGGGCTTACCTTGTTTAGCAGATGTGCTGGAACGATGGAGAAGTCTCAATGGATTCGAATGATGAGCTTGGGGACCAGAGATCCTCTTTATACCCATCTTCTGGCCACTCCTATGGGAAGTGAGGCAACCCAGGAATGGTGAGTGACACAGTTACAATCTCCCTGAACAGGTGGCCTCTTCCAGCCCAAGATGCCTGACAAGTCATATGAGATCCATATCTCACTTTTGTATCACTAGTTATTTTATGGAATGTAAACAGCTTAATGAAGGTGCTCCACCTAATGAGTAAGTTCCTGCTTTGTAGCGGAGCCTCACCTATTTGTGGGGGCTCTTGATGGGTGACATATGTAAGGATGGGCTTTTTTAAGGGGAGTTGGTGGCTCCTGATAGGCAAATCAGTTTATATCCAGTCCAAATTATGACTGCACTTATTTACCCATAAGTTGAGAGACATTGGTTGTGTAGTGTTAGAACATTAGACTAGGACCTGGGAGATCGGGGTTCAAATCCCCTTTTGGCGATGAAGCTCACTGTTGTGAGGTTGGGCCAGCTGCTGCTGCCTCTCAGCCTAACTTACCTCACAGGATTGTTGTGGGGATGAATTGAGGAGGGGGAGAACCATGTATACTACGGTACCTTGAGTTCCTAGAGATAAAGGAAGGATTCAATATGTCAGTCAATCAAGTCTCTTCCCTGCTATTTTTATATTTATCCAGCTAAGTTCTACCTAGAGTCAATCTATTGAAAACAGAGGACTTAAATTAATCTATCTGCCGTAAATAGGACAAGCACTGCATTCTCTGTCCCGACAAGTGCAAGCTGTTTCTACATGCACACACCATGTTGTGTGAAAGAGTGTACACTTGTTAATTTGCACCACTCAACAATTGTTTATATTGATACATTGACTGTACAATAGGTGAATATTATATTGGAATAATTTCATGACTGTAGAGACTGTTTGTGTACACGGGTTCAGAGACTGTACAGCTGTTGAGTGTAATGTGTGGACACCCCATATCACCTCAGTGTTTGAGCAGGGAGTTCTCTGCTGGCCTTGTGGCTCCAACATAATTCCAAGAAAATAGGAGAAATAAATAGACATAGCCAATTTTGTGGGATCATTTTCCAGCTCTGGTGATTTATAATATAGTATGAAACTAATGTGAGATAATATGAACCTACTGTTAAATGGAGTATTTTTTTAAGGACTATGCACACACACATACACAAACACCCCAGTATGACTTGAGGCCTGATTTAGGGCTTTGGAGTGGCCCCAATCTGAACCAGGACAATCTGGGGCTGACCTGATCCAGATCCAGATCTCAGACCAGACACAAACTGGGAGTCTTTCACAGTCTTTAATTTGGGTTTAACTCCCTAATTAAACATGTGAGCAGACAGGCACAGCCTGCTCCTCGCTGTCTGACCCCCTTGCAGTTTTAAAGCCCTGGATCACTCCAGTTGGACATGATCTGAACCAGGGTGATCAGTGATCTGTGGTTTCCTCAGCCTGTTCTAGCTGAATCCCATGTTGACCCAAATTGATCCAATTCAGTTCAAGATCTGGGATCACAGCCACACATTAATGCTTACTGAATAACAGGTTGCTGAAATCGACAGAAGGGGAGAGCATTGTTGCATTCATGTCAATCTTCCACAAAACAAAAAGGGAACGCGGTAAGAGGATAGGACATTGAGTTTTTGCTTACATTATTCACATTGTCATCAAAGATATATGTATTTTGCTCACTGCATGTCCCCCAAGCATATTTTCCAAAGATTAATGGGATATGTAGAAAGTTAATTTGGGATAATGGTCCGCTTCCTTTTGATTTGAGAGAACGCAGCTGCCAATAACAGAAGGAGGTTATTCCAGACGTTGCTTTATATTTTATTAGTTTAGCCAGTGTGGTGTAGTGGTTGGAGTGTTGGCGTAGGACCTGGGAGACCTGGGTTCAAGTCCCCACTCAGTCATCAAGCTCATCACTCACAGGATTGTTGTGATGATAAAATGGGGACGGGGAGAACTACATACAACCTTGAGCTCTTGGGAGGGAGAAGTGGGATGTGTTGTTGAGCTCGTGTCTACCTTTCACAGCACGGAAAAGTGAACACGGGGAAGAGGCTGGGACATTGAGTTTTTGCTAACATTATTCACATTGCTACAGGTGATATATGTACTTTGTGGTATTTCAGTGCATGTTTCCCAAGCATATTTTCAAAAGATTAATATTTAGGAAGATAATTTGGGATAATGGCCAACTTCGTTTTTTATTTAGGAGAGTGCAGCTGCCCATTTAAGAAGGCAGTTATTCCAGACATTATTTTATAGCTTATTAGTTTATTCAATGTGGTGTATTGATTAGAGTGTTGGACTAGGACCTGGGAAACCAGGGTTCAAATCTTCATTCAGTCATCAAGCTCTCTGGGTGATCTTGGGCCAATCATTCATTCTTAGCCTAGACTTCTTCACAATGTTGTTGTGAGGATATATATGCCACCTTGAGCTCTTGAAGGAAAAGTGAGATATAAATGCAATAGATAAACAAACAATAAATAAAATGAATGAATGAATGAATAACACAAAGCATATCTTTCAGCACAGATGTTTGGCAAGTTTCTTCTTCTATGAATAACCCAACTTGGGTAACTGTAAAGATGGTTTATTTAAATCCCCTCTTTTGATGACTTTTTTTGGGTTCTACAAAACAAGGGACCTCCAACACATTCAGTTTTAGCAACTAGAGGGATATGGAGTATATTGTCTCAGCAGTTACAATTTGGCCCAAATAGTCATGCTAAATTTACTTCATTCTGTAATCCAGATTTGAAGATAAAGAGGTGTGGAAGAAACGGACCGAATATGAGATGCATACATTAGATCACCTGTTTAGATAGAGAATTATTGCCTTTTCCTATTTTGCGGCTTAAATATAAATGACAGGTGAGTGAAAAATTCAATTGCCAACATCTGCTGGGGTCTATTTATGGTCTATCTGCTTTAAAACCTTCACCGTCTCACACTGTATTGGGGGGAATTATTGGATCCCTTTAGAATGCTAAATCCACATCTGTAGTTTATAAATGCTTTATGAATCTTTTAAAGATTAATGTTCAGGAACTCAGAGAGGCATGGAATAGGGAATTATAATGTGCCACAAAGCCTAAGCAATGGACGCTTGCTTTGGAATCTGAAGTTATTGAAAAAATTCCTTAGACTGTAAATGGTGTTTGATGCAGCAAAATTTAACGTTATGAGTATGTTACTCCAAAATGTTTGTATAAAAAGTATAGAGGTTGTCACTTCTGTACTGTCATCCTGGGGAGATGGGCCCTAGGACAGAACGGAAGGGTAGGGTGTTTCTTTAAAACACACACACACCCCAGTGGATATGGATCCTTCCTAGTTTATGGCATGTAGGAACCATCTAAATGACTGGTGGTGAGCATCAAACTCAGGGACCAAATGTGGGCCACAAAGACCTCTCTATGTGGCTCTCAGGACTCTCCCCAGACCACACCTTTTATTCAGTGTTTTTCCCTGGTTGTGATGTGTCCTTGAACTCTGATCATGCCCTCTTACTTGCCGCAATGGAGGGTAGAGAGGGGCAAGTGGAAGTGTTTCGGTAGAAAGCAGCCGAGAGCACAAAGATAAAATTCGTATTTCTTCCTCTGTCCACTTTTACCTCTGAGCCTGCTTCCAACTGACAAGTGGCCCCTGAAAGATTGCCTGGAAAGAGCAATGTTCTAAATATCTCATTCGTATATCTATATATCCTTATCTATATCTCTCTAGATATCATCTATATGATTGAGAGTGTTATAAAATCAGCAAAGAGCAGTTCATCCAAGCTTGCGCTCTCTCTCTCTCTCTCTCTCTCTCTCTCTCTCTCTCTCCAAGGTAAAGGGTAAAGGACCCCTGGACATTAAGTCCAATCAAAGGCGACTATGGGGTTGCGGCTCTCATCTCACTTTTCAGGCCAAGGGAGCCAGTGTTTGTCCACAGAAAGCTTTTCCAGGTCATGTGGCCAGCATGACTAAACTGCTACTGGCACACAGAGGACCGTGAGAAGTGCCAGAGCACACGGAAATGCCGTTTACCTTCCTGCCACAGCTGTATCTATTTATCTACTTGCACTGACATGCTTTTGAACTGCTAGACGGGCAGAAGCTGGGACAGAGCAATGGGAGCTCACCCCGTCTCGTGGATTCGAATGGCCAAGCTTCCGATCTATCTATCATCTATCTATCTATCATCTATCTATCTATCTATCTATCTATCTATCTATCTATCTATCTATCTATCATCTATCTCTATCTATCATCTATCTATCTATCATCTATCTATCTATCTATCTATCTATCTATCTATCTATCTATATCTATCATCTATCTATCTATCTATCATCTATCTATCTATCATCTATCTATCTATCTATCTATCTATCTATCTATCTATCTATCTATCTATCTATCTATATCTATCTATCATCTCTCTCTCTCTCTCTCTCTCTCTCTCTCTCTATCTATCATCTATCTATCATCTATCTATCTATCATCTATCTATCTATCATCTATCTATATCTATCTATCTTCTATCTATTTATCTGTATGTGAAGTTTTAAATTCTTATAGCAAAACGTCTCAACTTCCACCTTCATCAGTGATTAAGTTATTAATCGTCTTAGTAATTGACTCCATCCTCCAGGAATGATGGCTAATTAATGATCAGCACTTGCAGCCTGAACTTTGGAAAAAGAGGGAGTGATCAATCTTAAGGCAATCTAGAGATACACAGAGTAGAGTAGACATGCCCTGCCACATTTTGGGAAGCCTTTCTGATGGTTTCTCCTTCCCTTGAAATGCCTTGGATCTTTGTTGCTTTTGGTTAAGTTCAGTCTCAACTCTCTTCCCAGGTCTCATCATCAACTTGGCTCATTGCACGGTTGAATGTGCTAAACAACTTCCGTCTCTCAGCAATGTGTCTGGTGAAGGCAGCAGGTGGAGGACAACCCACACTGGAACTTGAATTATGACCTACATACGTGCATTGCCCACACATAGCTACATAGAATGAAGACACAAAACAACAGTGCATGATTTAAATATGGGCCACAAATTCATAAGCCTGATATGCAGCATTCTTGACTAGTTCAAAGCAAAATTCCCAAACTTAAGGCAGGTATGAATGCACCCAAGGAGGAAAAGTCAATCAAAAGAGTCACAGGGGCTGGAGGAACTTTCCTCCAAGGATCAAAGAAAGTTGCTTTATAGAGTCAGATCAATGGTCCATCTAGCTCAGTACAGTGGTACCTTGGGTTACAGATGCTTCAGGTTACAGACGCTTCAGGTTACAGTCTCCGCTAACCCAGAAATAGTACCTTGGGTTAAGAACTTTGCTTCAGAAATTGCGTGGTGGAGGCGTGGAGGCAGCGGGAGGCCCCATTAGATAAAGTGGTGCTTCAGGTTAAGAACAGTTTCAGGTTAAGAACAGACCTCCGGAACGAATTAAGTTCTTTACCCGAGGTACCACTGTATTGTTTACACCAGTGATGGTCAAACTTGGTCTTCCAGCTGTTCTGGGACTACAACTTCCATCATCCCTAACTAACAGAACCAGTGGTCAGGGATGATGGGACTTGTAGTCCCAAAACAGCTGGAGGGCCAAGTTTGGCCACCACTGGTTTACACAGATCAACAGCATCTCACAAGGTTTCAGGTGTGGGGCATTCCCATACCTCAAGCAGGTATACCATAAAAGAGTGGTGGCCAATGTTGTGTCTATCAGATGCCCATGGACTACAACTCCTACCATCTTGACTGATGACCATCCTGGCTGGGGATGAATGGGGTTTGTAGCCCCTGCCATATGGGGTTGGTTTGCGTACACCATGCTTTTCCATTCTGATGTACTCTGGGGTTGGCCATAGTCTTCCTGGGACTTTCCTTCAATTGACACTAAACCTGCTCAAGCCAGGATGTTGGACTGGGAATTGGGAACTGGGAATCCAGAGTTGTAATCCCCACTCAGTTATGAAGCTCACTGAGTGACCTTGAGCCAGTCATCCTCTGAAAACCAGCTGCTGGAAACTGCAGGAGGGGAGACGGCTCTTATGTTCAGGTCCTGCTTGTGAGCTTCCTGATGGGTCATCCGGTTGGCCACTGTGTAAATAGGATGCTGGACTAGATGAGCCTATGGGTTGCTCCCGTAGGCTGTTGTTGTTGTTGTTGCTGCTGCTGTTACAATTTATTACCTGCCCTTTACTGTAAGGTCCCAAGGCAAGTTACAACAATTAAAATACCACATTAATACTAATATATAATATCACGAAATATTAAACCCTCTGAAAAATGGCAAAAGTAAGTTGGGTCTTGAAAATATACATTTTCAAGCATAATCCCACAACATAATATTGTTGAATGAAGGCAGCAAAAGGGTTCGGAGAACTGATTCGGGGGACGGGGGATTATGATAGAGGCAACAGAGCAGGCACCAAACCACATATCAACCAGGGCTTTTTAAAATACAGTGGTACCTTGGGTTAAAAACTTAATTCATTCTGGAGGTCCGTTCTTAACCTGAAACTGTTCTTAACCTGAGGTACCGCTTTAGCTAATGGGGCCTCCCGCTGCCGCCGCACAATTTTTGTTCTCATCCTGAAGCAACGTTCTTAACACGAGGTACTATTTCTGGGTTAGCGAAGTCTGTAACCTGAAACATCTGTAGCCTGAAGTGTCTGTAACATGAGGTACCACTGTAGTGATGGACAAAAAATTATAGGAGTGCTCTCCATTTGAAAGGCAAAGTCAAACGCATGAATGGAAAGCTGAGCAACAGCCAATTACAAGTCCCCAGCTGTTTAGAGATAAGCATCTTCTCTCTGTATTCTTAACTATCAGGAAGAACTTCCTCAACCACATTAAAAAAAAAACACTTCTTGTATCTCGGACAGTTGCACCACTTGAAATCTCAGTGTAAGCTTCTGAGAACAGGGAGCTGCCTTATTTATTTGTTATCATGTTTATTTCAACTCCTCCACCACCTCTTCCACTGGATTCCTTACCACTCCTTACCATGGTGGATTGCAAGATTTGAAAAACACAGGATTAGAATCAGTTAAAGGAATATACAATCAGAAGGATGGAGTGGGTCACATATCTAATTTGGATGGCTTTTGAAAAGGATCCAGAAAATCTGTGGTACATAAAGCTATCAATGAAGACTGCCAACATAGCATGTGTTTACAGACTGAGAGATGTCACATGATTCGTGAGTAAGGAATCCCCAAAATGTCTTCTCCATCAGCAGCTGGTGTTATGGTGTGGTCTAAGAGGCCAGAGTAAATATAGTCTCCCTCTTGACCCTTCTCACTTCAGGAAACAATATGGCCCTCTCGCTCCTGGTTCTATTCCCCTCCCTTTCCTTGCCATGTGATGCCTTGCCTGTACTCCCCATGACAATGACCTTGGACTGTATTGCATCTCAAACTCTGCCTTCCTTGGCAAGCTTTTTGCTAAGAGGTTTATACTTCCTCTTAGGTTGGGAGACTAGCCCCTAAGTTGCTCCATGGGCATGTGGCATTCTCCCCACTCTGGATGGTTCTATTAGGCAGCACAACACTCTTCCACTCAGAACTGGTTGGTGGCCCTTATGACCAGTGCCAAACAGCTTTCACTTCAAATTCCAAGAGTGCCTGAGCTTTGTAGGAAATATAAAGTGGTGGCCTGTTACTGGGGCTTCACAGAGTCCTCACCATCAGTGGGCCCTAGCAGGTACCTGAGAATGCTGGGTAGTGCCGGTTCTAACCCTGTAGCTCACTATGTGAGTCCTTCAGAATGTGCCATGACTTGTATAGGCTTGGCCTAACTGCTGTGTAAATCACAATAGAACCCTTATGTTAGGAGGCAGCATGACAGCAACAATGCACTGGCCACCATGTCACTCTGTACCTTGTCACACTTCCACTTGTCACTTGTTTTAATGTAGCATGAGGCTTCATAGACCGGAGCAAGCTTGGTCAGGTTCCTGATGATCATCAGATGATGATCTGTGCTCCGGATGATGATCATCTATGCTATGCACCTGTACAAGCAGGTTGAGGCCAAGTGACAATGGGCATGGTTCAATCCCTGAGAACCTCCAGTTTAAAAGGACCCAGCGAAGAAGAGCGGTGGAAGAGCTCTCTCTGCTCTGAGACTTGGTGATGAACCATAGCTTAGTGATAAAGCATCTACTTTGTTTGAAGGAGATTCCAAATTCCATCTCTGGTGTGTTCAGGTAGGTCTTCAACCCTGAAGAGTTACTGCTGGTCAGCAAAGAAAGTAACAAGTAGATTAACCAATTGTCTGGTCCAGTGAAAGGTAGATTCCTGTGTGACCTAGTAGCCAGCTGGGACTGAAGGGCATTGGAACTCCAGTTGGAATCTGGTTGGTCAGGAGAGCAACCTGTGGCTATCCAGATGTTACCCCTAATTCCCATCATCCCTGACCATTGACTGTGCTGTCTTGGGGTGATGGGAGCTGGAATTCAAAAGCTTCTGCATGGCATCCCATTAGCCACCACTGTTCTAATCACTAAACCAATCTCTAAGTGTTTTATGTGCTGCTCTGCTGAAGGAATAAGGTGCCTTGATTTTTTAAAAAACAAAAATAAACTGGGTGTATGTCTACCCATGCATTTATCTTTCTACTGACTCATTTTCAAGTGAAAATGCTCTTAATTCAGGGAAGATCTCATTTCTTCCTTTATAACTTTCATCTTTGTTATGTTGGGCAAGGGCAGGATTGCTTAACTCCCACTTGAAGGGCCTGATCCACCATGCTTGCTGGGGCTGATGGGAGTTACAATCCAGTAACATCTAGAGGAACAAGAAGTTCTCCACACCTGACCTACATCGAACTCCTACAATTTTTCACACAGATTATCAGATTGGCTACTTTGAGTGCCCAATCAGAAAGCTTGGGCATATCTACGTGTAATAAATGAATTGACGTTTGTTTGTTTGCTTGTTTGTATGTCATGGATCCTAAGTCATTTTTGTGTGATATGTTACTTTACCGTAAACAGCACTGTGGACCTTTATGAAATCTTTAAACCACCCTTCATCAAACAAACAAACAAACAAACAAACAAACAAACACTTCTCCCTGTCTGGAATGACTTATTGAAGCAACAGTTCTTCATTGCCATCTGCAGTTCTGTGTTTTCCCACAGTGGGGCAGTCACACACACACACACAAACAGAGACACAAACATACACTTGAATGCTTCTCTTTATGAATCTGAAACCACACTACCCAATCCCACTGCCTCCCCCCAGAGGGTGCTACCACCAGAGGGGTACCTAGGCTCCCTTGCAACCTCTACAAGGTGTGTTGGTACCCTCCATTCCCCACTGGTCCCTTGCACCCTTGGCAAGGCAATCTCCATCTTCCTTAATGATTTTTGCACCCCCTGGACCTGTGACCTTGGTGGGGGCCAACTTGGCCAATCCCTCAGTATGCCCCTAGCTACCAGCTACTTTGGGAACCACCAGTTGGTGAAGAGTTAGACGAGGGTCAGAACTTTCTTCGTTAAGAAGGCCGCCTTCTGTAGTTCTTTGGTTTTCCACATGAGGCAGTGACACACAGAGAGGGGTGGGGTGGGGGGAGATTAATGCCTCTCTTTATGTATCTGAAACAACACTACCCAGCACTACCCAAGCATCTTCATTGTTAGGGGAACCCAAAGGTCTGGAGAAGTGCCCTAGAAACTTTAGAATAAAAAGGGGGGACCCAAAGAAAACCGCCAGAAAAAATACATTTAAAAAAATGCAGTGAGGATTGCAAATGCCCTGCAGGTGTGAATACTATCAGTTGAAGTGTGAGAGAGAAAAGAAATAATGGATAGATGGGAGAAGAAAATGGAATTTCCTGCATGAGACCATGGCTGGCAGGCATCCTGAACAGGAATGATCCACAGAGCAAGTTTTTGTTGCTGTTCCTACCAGGGATGGAGGACATTTTTTGAAGCAACCAGATCAAGTCTGTCAGTCCTGGGTATGTACATTGGTACCTCGGGTTAAGTACTTAATTCGTCCCAGAGGTCCGTACTTAACCTGAAACTGTTCTTAACCTGAAGCACCACTTTAGCTAATGGGGCCTCCCGCTGCTGCTGAGCCGCCGGAGCACGATTTCTGTTCTCATCCTGAAGCAAAGTTCTTAACCTCAAGCACTATTTCTGGGTTAGTGGAGTCTGTAACCTGAAGTGTATGTAACCTGAAGCGTATGTAAACTGAGGTACCACTGTACATGGATCAGAAGCTTCATGTTAACTGGGTCCAACACTTTTCTGAGTCCCCATCCTGA